TTTTGTGTATAAACCTTCGTGCGCATTTCCACTCGATGGGAATTCACCTGCTGCTGCCCGTCTCGGGGAGTGACACAGCACACCGGTTCAACAATACGTAGACATTTAATGGCCGTTATCGCCCGCGCCACGAACCCAAGAGCTCTCGGGCATACGCTGCGACGCCCTTTTATCAGCGGTGGAGCGCCGCTGGCGAGACCAGTTGCCAGTGGCGTACCAACTTGTTTTTGAGCGAGGGGGGGAGGGGGGGGAGCGGTGCCCTTGGCATTCCTTGGGCGCCGCCGGCCAGTGTTCGCCCTGCCCAGTGGCGGCTGTTTCAGGGGGGGGGGGGGGGGGGCAAAACACATGCCTTGCCCCCCACTCTGAGAACTGGAGGCAAGCCCCCCCTTGCCCCCCCCCCCCCCCCCCCCCGGGTTGGTACGCCCATGCCAGTTGCCCTTGCCCCCTCGCGGTAGCAATGACTACTGACGATTTAGAAGATGGCCAACCTTGGCCAACGCTTTGGATCCCCAGGTTGCCCGCACATATCCCCCTCCTCCCCCCCCCCCCCCCCCCCCACCAAAAAACAAAACAAATAGGGACGTCTTAGAAGGTCTTGGGTCAGCAAGGGTCTTCGCAGATGGCCAAGCACGGGTTCGACGTCAGTACTTTCGGACGGTACCGATGAGGCTGTGGTGGATCTGATGATGTAAGCTGCGTTGCCACCGCTAGGTGTCTGGCACGAGGTACTAGAAATTAGATACAACATAAGGCCGTGGCGCGGCTGGAATAAGTGGCCCGCCCAAGAACGACGGCTGTCCAACAGCGAATACGGGAGCACGCCTACTTTCTCGCCTCCACCCCCCCCCCCCCCAAAAAAAAAAGCAAAAACCAAGAGGGCGCGAATATATGTTGAAGTTAAAGCAAGTAGGCAGGCGAGCTCGTAAAGGATAGACATCTAACCCTTTAGCGAAGATAAAAAAGGGCGGGAAGGCGCGAAACTCTGGACGCAGCTAAAAATTTATTTTTCAGACAACCTCCTAAATAGGCCCACAAACCCACAGAAAACACACGTTGCCCAGGGTCACAAAACCGTGGAAGAAAAGACCAAAGAACAAAAAAGGAAAAGACCTCGGCGACCGGCATGAGGACGCTGGTTTGTAGGGACAAGGTCTTGTTCCTACAAACGGGCGAACGTACGAAAGAAAAGTAACTGCACTGTACCAAACTTTTTAGATGCGGAGCATCTCTTGCTCGGGTCTATGTCCCGCGGCGTCGTAGTCCGCACTCACACTACGCATGCGCATCTCTCCTCCTTCCCTCTCTCCAACAGCTGCGCGTTACTCTCTCCGCTCTCTCTCTCTACCAGCTGCGTGCACTTCGCGTGCGTTCGGTTCTACTCACACCGCGCGCGCATGCGCAACTCTCCTGCTCTAGTCTTCCCTCCTTCAAGTGTGAATATAAGCAGCGGTAGCGCGCTGCGCGCGTTCGAGGGGAGGAAGTGGCCGAGTGGGCTAAGTCGTCTCAGCTCGGAGCGTGGAGCGAAAGCTTGCGCTGGGAACCTCCTGGGTTCGATCCCCGCCGCCCCCGCCCGTTTCGGTCTGGATGGGTTTCGTACCGGCACGCGTTCGTGTGATCACTACTGCGTGATACACGTTAAAAAATTGCACCATCTTCCCCAGGGAAACCATGGGGTGATGCGGAGCATCGCGGAGTTTCCAACAACGTTCACGCGATGTGTGGTAACCAACGCAAGTTAACAACGAAATAACACGCAAGTTAACAACGCTACTAACACCGTTAATAACGATCCGCGATGCTCCGCATCACCCCATGGTTCCCCTCGGGAAGATGGTGTAATTGTTTACATATGAAAGGGTATACTGACGCCACTCCCCGCGTTGCAAGCTGCCGTCGCCGCGGCAGCTTGCGCAACAGTAATCATTACCGCGAAACGTATGCGGTGAGCGCTACGTACGTGCTTCGCATTGTTATCAGGGGCACCTTATCATAAATTACGTGGTACGGGTGTTTGTTTTGAGCTTGTTCTTTATTGAAACGAATGCTGTACTGCATGGTGTATGCGTCATATGCACTTCTCGCTTCAATCGTTGAAGGTTCTTTTTTTTTTTCGTGAGGACAATAACGCGAACAAATCTGATCTGTGAGTCTTATAGAGCTTGGCTGTAAAAGTCGTATATTCCCCCACAATGTGCGAAAGAACGAAATCGCCAGTTATACCACTGTCACGGAATACGTTTAAAATGGGCCGTCACGTAACTCAGGACGGAGGTGCGAAGTTGTTAATTCTCATAGCCGTCGTGTTTGGCATCGTGGATGCCATGGACGACAGCCACAAGTGATCCGGGAAAGTAAGATGGTATAAGCGCGGTGGAAGTTTTTAAAACCATTCAACATTACGCGTAGCAACGTGAATACTGCCAAAGGGGAATTTCGCATAACGTGAGTAATGTTTTAAAACAAGTATTTCACGCAGACAATACGATGGTTCTCCCTTCGTCGTGCAATTCTTGGCGGGTTGCAAGGGCTGCTTCCTTCGCTCGCATCGCGCAGCACGGCGGTCGGGAAGTCCCAACTTCGCTCTCCTCGCGGCAAGAAGTAAGAGAAGAAGGATTTTTACACTTTTTATGCGCGGCAACGACAAGGGACGAGGTCGAAATCTCTGCAAAGTGTCGCCCTTAAACCTATCGCTTTAATATAATTTTATTATTTTTAAATACGTAAAAACAACATAATTGCAAGAGAGCCGTGGAGATGGGAATGATTGTTAAGCTGATTGTGTATACAGTGCCATGGACGCTTATATGGACGAGGAACGCTTTCAGTACAATGATGCTCTAGGGTGCTCTTGGTGCGACTGGATTAGAACAACCTTCTCGAAGCTTCGAAGATTTGAAGGGCCCGAGATGGCGATTGCCAAAGCTACGAAGACTGATTAGCCAATCGCCTTGCGAGGTTTTGGTCGTCACCGTGTTAGTATTTGTTTGTGTCCGGCTGGCAGGCATTGGCGCTATTTTCTCAGGATCCAGAGACTTTAGGCGATCCTATGGGGCCTAACTTGGGCCTAATACCATTTCTTTCTAAGGATTAGTGCCGAAGTACCTTTTTCGGCGTTTTTATTTGTATTTTTCGGGGCTAGCGAGATAATTGCTTTTTATCTTATATCTTCACGCAATCTATTGAGTGTTAGACTGTACCACGCGACTGGAAGGTGGCGAAGGTGGTTCCTCTTGTCAAGTCCGGCAATGCACAGTCCGCTCTTAGTTACAGACCAATTTCAATAACAAGTATTCCATGTAAACTTTTGAAGCATGTAATCTATTCAAATCTCGTGTCATTTCTCAAGTCATATTCATTTTTTAACCCCTTCCAGCGCGGTTCTCGTAGACACTATTATTCCTGTGAAACGCAACTCCTTTTTTTTGCAAATGACATAACATCGGGCCTGGATCGTGGTCAGTTTTTCGACTGCATCTTTCTTTATTTTACAAAAGCATTCGACAAAGTTCCACACCACTTGCTGCTTCTCAAAATTGCTGCCTTAAATACTGGCCCTAATATCTTAAAATGGATTTAATGTATTTTTACTAACCGCACGCAATTTGTAATAGCGAATGATTCTACTTCATCCCCTTCTTTGGTAAAATTCGGTGTTCCTCAAGGTTCCGTTTTAGGCCCTTTGCACTTCCAAATATATATATTAATGACCTTTCTAACGGTATTCAGTCCTCTATGAAGTTATTCGCTGACGACTGCGTTCTTTACCGCCAAAATAACTGACCCATACGATCAATCTATTCTCAATTCCTATCTCAACCACATCTCTACCTGGTGTAATAAATGGCTTATGACCCTTAACATTAACAATTGTAAAAGTATGACTTTCTCACGCCGCCCTAATCCCTCTCTATAATGTGATTACAAGATTAACGATATTTCCCTTGAGCATATCATTTGTTACAAATACCATGGAGTTCACGTAACTAATGACGTCTCATGGCAAACCCACGTTAACTACGTTATTAATAATTCTAATCGCATCCTCGGCTACTTAAGTCGAAATTTTGCTCAACCCTTTTTTTCTCTTAAGCTTCTTCTTTACCGTACACTCATCCGCCCAAAGCTCGAATATGCTTCTGCGATATGGGATCCAGCACAACGTAATCTTATTGATGTCATTGAATCTGTTCAAAATGGATCAGCCCGTTTTATTAACTCTAATTATTACCGCTTTGCTAGCGTGTCACTAAAGAAGTCTAATGCTGGTATTCCTGAACTAATGTTTCGAAGAAAAATTGCGCGTCTTTCTGTTTTTCGTAAAATATTTTTTCATAAACCAGTTCTTAAACAGGAACTCTTTTTACACCCTTCTTACCTTTCATCCCGGGTTGATCAGCAGTACAAAGTTGCCATACCTCATTGCAGCACTAACAGATTTTTTGATTCTTTTATGCCAAAAACTTGTTGAGAATGAAACCCCCTTCCCCCCACATCGCCACGAAGAGTTAGTCTGGCACTTTGTTTTGTAATTTAGGCCCTAAAATGTCACATTAAAACCAAACAGCCGGGAATGAGGCCTAACTTTGACACTTAATTTTTTGGTTGTTTAAGCCCAAAGATGACGGATGACTAACGAACTACCAGCAGTATAAGGCCAAACTTTGGCACTCAGTGTCCCAATTAGTGCCAAAACTCACAGACTCTGACTGAAGAAGGTCAAGTTTGGCTCTTCCTTGACTTCTTCGGTCATTTTATTAACCGGATTTCCCAGGCACTAACCAAGCTTGGTCCAAAAAACTGTGCAACCTTGGCGGGGGTCGGGGGGGGGGGGGGGGGTACATGTATAAAGAGTTCTAGTGATCTGATGCTACAAAATGGTTATCGATGAAATAAAAAAAAGGCTGAAAAAGCGAAGAAAGTACTAAACGTGCAGGTATCGTTTCTTTTTGTTCAGGTGAAAGGCCTTGCACGCGACCATTTCTGCACCTACCAAAAGAATCATGGGAGAGACCAGAAAGGTTCCCGTGACCGTCGACGCAGGGGGCGACGCCATCTTCCCTTACTTCAATCCGGTGCTTTACGAGAGAATCCCCCTGTTGGAGCCACAACAGGGAGACATTATTCAGGTCAGTATGTTTTCTTCTTTCTTTAAGCATGTTGAATTGCCTGTATTGCTACTTTAAAGAAGGAAAGTTATACCCTATGCGCCGTTCTCCTGAGCTTTGTTTCTGTACGTGATTGAGCTAGCCGTTGGTAGCAACTCCACAAAAGTGACGAGTTCCATGACGATGCACTTTTGGTGCTACCTGATTTGCTCTATCTGATCGTAGCGTTATCTGCGGTTGTATTTAAAGTGAAACGGAATACTATAACACCAACACAGCGTTTACAAGCAAGCCCGTTTTGCCCACACCAGGTGTGGGCACTACCCGTGCGCAGAAACCAAATTCGGGAGGAGTGAAACGTTTGCGCATGCGCAGTACCGACAGCAGCTCCACCACAGTGGAGTGACGTCAGCAGGTTGAGTTGGTCTATTCTCACTTTAAAAGCATACACAAACAAAAAACGTGCCTTTCGCTTTACAAGGGTGATTCGCACAGTTAAGTATAACGCTTCACCTTGCGTCCTTAACTGTGTACTTCACATAGCGGTCATTTAATTTGCTTCCAGAAGTTTGAACCGTTTATTTCATTTGGGATATGGAATGCAATGCACCACACAAAAAGGCTTTATAGCTGCTAATGGTAACTATTAACTAAAGCATTAGTAACCTTAGACCTTTTTGATATCATTATTATCGTTTTTTTTTAAATAGTATTATGAACATTAAGCGAATGGTAGCCGGAAAGTTGTACGCATATCAAACCACGCGGATCATCTTGCTATACGGACCGAAACTGAGCGAGGGGAGGAGACGAGAACACGCAGGACGACAGGACACCGAGCTCCCGTTCGAATGGTTAGTGGGTAGACATAAAGACAGCTGCCTTTGTTTCCACTGTATTCTTCGAGCTCGTTCGACGTGTGCAGTAGAGAAAAAGGCGGCTAGCCTTAGGTCTACCCACTAATCATTCGAACAGAGTTCGGCGTTCTGGCGTTCCCACGCGGACACGTTTCCTCCTCTGCATCAGTTTCTGACCGCATAGAGATATAAAATGCAATCACGAGTAACTTTACAAAGTGAACCTTGTTCACCGGTACGGCCAATGAAAGTATGAGCACGAGAGAATGTCTTTCTCTGACGCCCGAACACGGACACGCTCACGTTGCCTTCCGTTACACTTTGGCAGCGTTTGTCCCTCGAAGCTCACAGGACCCTGAACTGTTATTGAAGGCAGCATGCTCGCGCTGGAGGGGGGCCCAATGAAAGACCTCCCTGCCGTTCTGATCCTGAGCAGTGATTATACTTTGTTCTCTGAGTGCGGAACGTCGAATTCGTCGGCTTCTTTTGCATGGGGTTGGGGTGGTGACGTCAGAACGCCGAGCTCTGATTGGCTCGGATAGAAGGATTGTGGGTAGATTTCAAGAGAGCCTGCTCTGAAGTCTACCTGCTATCCTTTAATCAGAGCCAATCCGAGTTCCGCGTTCTGACGTCACCAAAACCCCTGCATAAGAAGCAGACGAACTTGTGCTGCGCATAGCTTTATTACTATCCTTTGTTATTCAAAAACACCGGACGTGTCAGCGTATACCTGTGCGCGTTTTATGTGTACTTTACGTGGCATTATATGCATTATTATTAATTGACGCTACCCAACAAAAACATGCTTTCCCGATGATGTATCATGAAAGATTCAAGCACACACATCAAAGATTAACATTATACCCACAAAATACAACATCTTAAAAAATTACCATTTGCCAATTTAAGAAAAAGTTCGAGCTTTTTTATTTTGCTGAAAACAAATAGTTGTGAAGGCACGATAACGGAAGTTTATTACTAAAAAAAGAAACGTATGTGAGTTAATTTTTCTGCACAATAGGCACCACAGCCAGTCACTACAAAAAACAGATGAACCCGGCAAGGGATATGAAGCTCAAAGTACAATTACACCTGAAGGATACGATTTGCGCTGGGACGTTGAACATGACGTTTCACTTTTCGCTTGTCCCTGCGAACATACCATTTTTTTTTTATCTAATAGTAGTCATAGCTTTGTCCTTACACCTTTTCCTGGTCATGCTGTGGGAATGAGATTCTTGTATCGCTTGCTGCGATCGTCGGCCTCTGTGCGCTGCAAGAAACTGATATATCACCGTATCATAATGTAAACCTTGTCTCAGGGCTTGCATTATGATGTTTCCTAGCCAGATAGCCTACCTACTTTCACTGCTCGACCTCACTGCCTGTATTAGAGCGCAGATCTTACGCACCCGTTTCCGGCTTGAGCGGCGTCGGCGTCGCCGTCGCGGTCAGCGTAGTAGCGCTTTGCATTATGAGACGTTTCCCATTATGGCTTCACACATGACGTCACATATGTGATATCACGAGGGTCAGGAGGGTCACTAGTGACGTCACCCTCGTGAGGTCACCCGGCACCTAAGTTTGGCGGGAAATTATTTTGCTAAATTTAAGGGAAAATTTAGTAGTGTTGACGATTGGGCTAGTGGTCATTCATATTAGCGGGAAAGAAACAGCGCAGGGACAAGGACAGAGTAGAAGGCGGTAGACACACACATCGCTGACTTACAACTGTGCTTTATTGGCACTGACAACCTGTATAAACACACAATTTTCCCGGCCCAAAAGCCAAGAAAAGAAACAACACAAGAGGAGGACTACACGTGTTCCTAGAGTCATCTGCCGGCGCCTTTGTTCTCCGATCTGAGTAGAAAAATACACTCCTTTTCCGTCAAGGCAAGTGACGGGGCACTAACACACTCAGAGCCCGATTGTCCAATGGCGCGTGCTTCTATAATCTCCCGTGTCAGTTTATCTTTTTGTTTTCTGATGACCGCGCATCGTTCAAAAAACGGAGTACATCCGCAATCGCGGCAATGCACCCCAAGGTGCCCCGACACAACCTGAGACACATTATAACGATGCTCTCTTAGACGCTCATTAAGACAACGTTCTGTCTGCCCCATGTATCTCCGGCCACAGGACAGGGGCATAGAGTGTACAACACCCGCAACGACTTACAACTTGGCTTTACTCTAAGAGCACGTGTAGTCCCATTCTTGTGTTGTTTCTTTTCTTGGCTTTTGGGCTGGGCAAATTGTGTGTATATACAGGTTGTCAGTGCCAATAAAGCTGAGTTGTAAGTCAGCGCTGTGTCTGTCTACCGCCTTCTACGCTGTCCTTGTCCCTGCGCTGTTTGTTTTCCGGGGCCCTGCTAAATTTAGCAGGGAAATGTCCCCGTTAAATTTACCGGGAAATTTCCCCACTGAATTTCGCGGGAATATTTTCCACCAAATTTAGCGGGAAAATTTCTCCACCAATTTTTTTTGTTAAATTTAACGGGGACATTTCTTCGCTATATTTAGCGGGGAATTTTTACCGCCAAATTTAGCGGGCAACCTTTTCTGGTAAATTTAGTGGAGACATTTCTCCGCCAATTTTTTTCGCTAAATTTAGCGGGCAATTTTTTCGTCGGTTTAGCGGGGAAATATCTCCGCCAATTTTTTTCACTAAATCAAGCGGGAAAACTTACCCGCCAAATTTAGCGGGAAAATTTTCTCGCCAATTTTAGTGTGGAATTTAGCGGGAAAATGTTTCCGTTATTTTTTGCGCCAAATTTAGCGGTGGACTTTCCCCGCTAAATTTAGCGGGGGAATTTACCAGGAATTCGTCCCACATTTTCCCAATAAATTCCCCTTAGGACTATCTCCCTTCAGTACCCTTCCCTGCTCCTTCTCAAGAGCTGCGTTCTAATTCGGCATTACAGATAATTGTGAACGTCTGTCATTTTTTTTCCATAATCCGTTTTTTACTCTATTAGACCGCAGCCGTCGGTGCGATTCGATGGAACTTTAATAACTATATGCCGAGTGCAAGTGCGTCTGCTTCTTGCACAGGGTTTGCGATGACGTCAGGACGCCAAACTCTTATTGGCTGATTGAAGAAAACAAAATCACGGGTAGACCTCAAGGCGTTTTGCATTGAGGTCTGCCCACTCTCCTTTCAATCAAAGCTAATCGGAGTTCGGCGTCATTCTGACGTCACTGCAACTCCCACGCAAGAAGCAGACGATTTGCTCTCCGCATAGTCACTCTACTGGAACAGATCAAGCGTGTCCTATAAGTGCATCGTCAAGGCGCACGGCGTATCAGTGGGTTTGCTATCACTGCTTGAAACCAATCACGCGCATCAGGAAGCGAAGGATCAAGGGGTATGCACTGCGCGTCATTGTTGTAGCCGACGTACAAAGACAATGAGCGCCGTGGAGATGCACTTTCGGCGCTGAAATGATTGGCTCAAATGAATCGCAGCGTCGTCTGAGGTCAGCCTTAAGGTCAGTTCACAGACTTCCGTTTGCTTAGGACAATGCTCTTGAGATCACTTACGACAAGAGCTGGCAAGCTGGCGCCATCTATGAGGTGACCCTGGAACTGTATTTCCCTAGAGCGAAGGTTTTGCGTCGTTTGCGAGATCAAATGTTCATACCCTCTATATTAAATGGTGGTTTATAACATTGCCAAACGTTCTTATAAATAAAAAAAGAATCATGCGTGAATTAAACAGAATACATACAAAAACTGAGTGTTTCACAGCTACCCTATAGATGGCGTCGGTGTGTTCTTACGTCCTAAGAGCTTTAAAGAGGTCTGAAGGCACACGGTCGTAAACAGTCGCCAGTGTGAACCATGTCTTTAGAGTAAAACAGTGTAAGGAGTGCTTCCCTTGCGCTTGGTTCCCCGCAGGTGACGTACCCGAGGTCTGGAACCCACTGGGTGCAGCAGATCATCCAACTCATATTGAACAAGGGAGAATCCGAGAGGAACTACATGGACTTCATGATCAGAAGCCCCTTCATAGAAGCGATGGAACTTGGGGCAACAAAAGCCCCGGGGCTCTTACGAACGCACTCCTCAATGGCCAGGCTTCAATGCAGCAAGAAGGCCAAATACGTCTACGTTGCGAGGAATCCTTGGGACTGCTGCGTCTCTTGCTTCCACTTCGTTCGGGAGATACCTCAGTGCCAGTTCGAAGACGGTTCCTTCGACGATTTCGTGGACTCGTTCCTCGAAGGAAAATTTGGTTTCGGTGAATACTTTAGTCACGTCCTGTATGGATACGGTAGCAGAGCTGAGCCTAATGTCTTCTTTGTGACGTACGAGGAACTACACGAGGACAAGGCCGACGTGGCCTTGAGGCTAGCGTACTTTCTAGGAGAAGACCACGGGAAGATGCTTGAGACCAACCAGGACGTCTTTCAGAAAGTGATGGAGAAGAGCACTGCGACGTTCATGAGAAAACTGATGACAACCACGCCAGAGGAGATGTCGAACATTGTCGCACAAAGCTTCGGCCTAGTAGCGTCCTCATCGGCAACCAATAGGGTAAAGTCGGAAGACAGAAGGGAGGTGAACATTCTCCGCCAAGGTGAGGTAGGTGAGTGGAAGCACTACTTTTCAAAGAGGAGCATCGAGAAGATGAAAGCCGCCATTGAGGTGAGAACCAAAGGTTCTGACGTCATGACTCTTTGGAAGTGTCATGACGCTTCCCTCGAAATACCTTTGGGAAGAAATGTTCGTCTATTTAAATCACCTTCGTTTGTGACGTCACATCTACCCTTTACATTATATATGTTCATGATGTTACATCACTGTAACTTCCTCCCCCTCCCTCCCCACACACACAAAGGCCTGGCACACGAATCTACCCCTGGTGTCATGCCAGGAGTTGGTGTGCGAATGAAGTCATGACTAAGGGGTAGAGCTTCAGTGGTTGTTTTATTCTGCATTCCGTAAATAGTCTGCTATAATTTAGTTATGTTCTGGTTCTGGATTTTCTGTGAATCACCAGCACAATTTAGTGTGCTAAGAAGGCTCTCGCAAACAATGCGTGCGTGATACAAGTTTATGTACAAGTGTGGTAAAAACAGAAGGCTATAGGAAGCTTTTGTCCTGCGCAAGAATGAATAAAAGTGTACTTTTGTGTCCCTCATCTTTTTATTTATTAAATGTCATATATCGTTTGCAATATAAAAAAAAATGTACGTGTAGAACCTGATTCCGGACACTTGTTTTTCTACGTATTGTTGGAGAAATAAATCGACTACCCAGTAATAAAGTTTTAAATCTTTATAATGACTTATTTCTTAAATGTTAAGAATGTGTTTAATGTTTGTTTTAAAATCTTATGAGATATTGTGCTGCTTGGTTTTCCTTGATAATGGAGATTAATGCTTGCATAGTTTTCTACACGCAGAATGCGTATCCTTAAAATAACAATCCTCAAATTCTCCTGCAATAACACCCTCTGGACACAGCGAGATAATATAAAAAAATAAATGAATATAATAAATACGCGACACATTCCATTTGTAGGCCGCCTCATTGTAGTCCGATGTTATGTTCTTTTTGTTTTAATAAAGGTCAAATAACAAAATATTTTCACATCGAGAAAAAAGCTATGCCGCAAAAGCAAATAAGAAAAAAAAAACATTTCATTATTAATTCATCGTTTTGTTGGCATCTATCTCATAAACCTATACCGAATAAATTAAAAACTAATTCCGGAAACTCCTGCGGCGCCAGGGCTAACAAATGATAGCTGCACCCACGGTAAGCTTGAAGTCTAGGCTAGCCCTAGGTAACCACTGAAAAACCATTGCCACGGTCCTTCCCAACTTGATTGTTAAAAGTATGTAGAGTTCCCTCGGTGATAATCTTTTTTATCTCCAAGATAATAAAACTCCGCTGATGTCCAACCTTATCTAAGACATGCAAAACACTAATGTATCTTCGCGCAGTTTTAAAAATCTTGGACAGATCGCATCGAACTTAGCTATCTCAACTTGTTTAGTTCTACTTTATATATAAAAAGGTCGCATTTTTAATTTCGCCGAAAAAAATATATGTTATGGCGTCGTCTTTAAAAACGCAGTAGCCACAAACCGCAAGTTCGTCGGATTTTTGGTTCTCGACTTACGTATTTTAAATGTAGCCGCGGCGGAAAGCAGTGTTTTTCACATCCGTCGTGGGTCGGATGTTTGCTTGATCTCCTGGCGTGGATTTTGAGTCCACATTAAATTAACTTTTTTTACGCACTCTGTGAACATATTTGAAAGGCTCTAATACCATGAAATAATTTTAGATGTTTTGCTTTTTTTTCTGTGAAAATTTCAAAAACGCCCCCTCGGTTAATTGTTGATGAACTTTGACAAATAAATACTGGCGATCTACTTGGGTTACATCAATATTTCATATGTCTACGGCGAGCCCAAAACACGCTCCTTATATATATTACAAGATCACTCAGCTGTATTAAATATCATATGAGGAACGTTTACGTTGATCTTATGCAAAAACCAAAAAGTACGAATTTTGAAATCGATTTTCTAGAAACAAAAAAAACAACATATCCTTTTATTTTTTGCTAAAATGTAGATATGATAGGCTTCTACTCGGAAATTAAGTCGAGAAAGTGTGTATTTTGTTTGTATGTTTTATATTTAAGCATCCATATCGTACAAAAACGTGTTTTTACGGCTCGAAACTGACTTGAGAATTGTGCGTCTTCACAAACTTAAATATATTTGTGCCTTTTTTCAACGTTCCCACATAAAAATGAAATACAGAAGTTCCACCCTGTTATATTTATTGGCTATTTAAATTTTATTATAGGCGGCAAGTTACATTGGAGGAGTTCATACAAGAAAGCAACACTTCTTAATAGACCAGCAAGCGTCGTGAATCTTTAATGTGTACACTCTCAGAAAAAAGGTGTATTACTACACCCCTTGTCCGATATAATACACCCCAAAACTTCAATTCGACGTACAGCGCCGCATAATCGAACAGGCGGCCCCAAAGTTTGCGAGGGGCTTGATAGCCGTGTGGTACAACTTATTAAGATAGCTGATGTACGTATGAATGACTACAAAAAAGATTATCGGAGTTTTCATGGCCGTACTGCAAAAGCTCTGTGTTTTATTTCTTTGGTCTTTGATACGTACTTTAGCAGTTTAATAAGTTATATCGCGCCGTTATCGAGCCCCTGGTAAAATTTTGTGTCGTATGTTCGACTATAGGGCGCTGTACGTCGAAATGAAGTTTTGGGGTGTATTATATGAGACAAAAGGGTGTAAGGTGATCCCCTTTTTTTGGAGTGTAGAAATCGGCAGACGTCGTATTGAATCGGGGCCTTCATTGGCCTATATGAACGTTCCGCCCTTTCGGAACCAGCAGATGGCCACGACCTTTCGCGCTCGTTGTGTTAGATAGGCCGGCCCGTGTCAGTAAAGCGATCGCAGCGCACGCTGGGGGTGTCACGAGGAGTGAAGTGATACAAATGTGTCGTTGACGCGGCGAACAGTGACGGCCACCTAGGAGGAGTCAGTCAGTCAGAGTATTGCAGAAGGGAAAGCAAAAGAACTGTTGCCTGGGAGGATGAGGACACCACGGCCTTACAATGTCGACGGTCAACAACCGTTCTGCCGGCCAAAACAATGCCACGTGCGCGATAAAACCGGCGGCGCGGGACAAAAATCCTGCAGACGCACACAGGAGCATGGGCCGGTTTCGTTAGTGATGTGGGAACATTTTTAAACCAGCCATCCGTGCACGCGTGAAACAATACCGCGTATTTGCCGAAGCTTCTAGCGCCCTATCCCTTGAAACGGCCGTGCTCTACCTTTCTCCTCGGAGATCCTATAGCTCCGAAAGGTTATCTCTTTTGGAAACAGCAGAGCCCGGAGAGACTAACATTAAAAACGAGCATGTTGGTAAATATACTTATGTTTATTCTGCCCGGAGAGTAGTTGGGTCGAAGTCAGCCTCCTTGTCAACTATAACCGTTTGTGAAGAGTAGCATTCTTCCGGAGATGGAAAGTTAGCATCGGCTGACGTGTTTTTTTTTTAAAAAGGGAAGGGGAAAGAGAAAGTTTGAGTAACTACAGCAACTACCTCGAAAGCTCAGCTCTCCCGATATGAAGCTCGTGGCATGTTACGTCTCGGTTACCTTTTCGCGCATCGCTGCTCGAATCTATTCTTCACTTTGTTCCGCACAGCCACTGTTCCGCACAGCCGTCGTGGCTGTGCGTAAGAGAGGGAAGAATAGATTCGAGCATCATCTGGACGGCCATCATCCTGCCAGTCTTCAGTGTGGTCAGACTGGACTAGGCGTCGGTCAGTTAAGATTTTTTTTATTATTATATCGTGTGTGTTTCTTCGCCCGCTGAACTTTATTTCACGATTGCGGTTCTGCTGAACGTGCTTTTTTTTTTGCCTAATGTTTTTTATTAACTGTTTGTTAGCATTGTTTAATTGTTGGGTTTATTTCGTTATGGCGTAGTGGCCTGACGGTGCTGTAGAGAGCCTGTTCGCGCGCATTTGGTTGTGTCCCGTTTAGGGAATGCCCGGAGGAGTCGGTTTTTGTTTTTGCCGTGTGCGGCTGAGTTTTTTCGTCTTGAATATATATATATATATATTTTTTACCTTTATGTGTCGTCGACTTCTTTGTCTGAAAGTCCACCAGACATGGACCTATCGCCTTGCCACCGATCGAACCTAAATCTTTTATTTTTTTTACGCAATTTTTGTTAAGATCGGAGTTGGGTGATTTTATTCTTATTTATTTATTTTTATTCTATACCCATCTCCGCAACAGCCTCTCAGAGTGTTTCGGACCGTTTCATTGTCATCACGTTTGTATATTACGGAAGTGAAAGGCCATTCCTTGGTTATCTGTGCGGTGTGCGGTGAACAAATCCTACCGTTTGGTTTCGGAAAGAATTGCGTATATTATATTAATGATGTGGTGACTTTCTATGTCTTAGTAATATGACAGCTAATAGCTAGTCATGCTAGTCTACAGTGAAAGTTTCTTAAAGCGAAACAATACAACGTCTGTGCATTTTCGATATTGAATGTCTATTAGGTCTGCTGATTTGGTTAGATATGTTTCTCCTGGTTTCCTACTCTTATCAAAACATTAATAACTATTCAATACCAAAAAATACGCTTATAATTTATAACAAAAAGGCAGACAAAAATTCAAGAAAACTTTTTCATAATTCATAGAAACACACGGGTCGCCATGTCTGACTTCGGTCTTGCAAAACGAAGATGTCCTTTTCCGATATGGGGCTTAAATATAGAACATAGAAACAAATACACACTTTCTCGACTTAATTTCCAAGTTTCCAAGTAGACAACTATAATATCTACATTAAAAAATAAATAAAAAAATGTTTTTTTTTTTTTAGAAAGTCGGTTTTAAAATTCGTACTTTTTGGTTTTCGGATAAAATGAACGTAAACGTCCCTCAAAGGATATTTATTGCAACTGAGTGATTTCGTATTATATATAAAGAGCGTGTTTTGAGCTCTCCGTAGGCGTAAAAGATATTTATGTAACCCAAGTAGATCGTTAGTATTTAATTGTCAAAGTTCGTCAACAATTAACCGAGGGGGCGTATTTGACATTTTTACAGAAAAAAAGCAAAACGCATAAAATTATTTTATGGTATCAGAGCCTTTTAAATGTGCTCACAGAGTGCTTGAAAAAAGTTAACGTAATGTGGACTCAAACTCCACGCAAGGAGATCGAGTGAAACATCCGACCCATGACGGATGTGAAAAACAATGCTTTCCACCGCGGCCTCTTTTAAAATTCGTGAGTCGAGAATGAAAAATCCGACGAACTTGCGGTTTGTGGTTACTGCGTTTTCAGAGACGAAGCCATGACATAAATATTTTGCA